GAATTTCAACTTTTAATAATAAAGCGAGGGAGTCTCGAGCTGTTAGGTTATGATAGGGAGCTGCCGCGGAAGGAACGAGCAGCCGGGGGCGAGGGACGTGGGCGAATTAGAGGCGGTAGGAGGCTCTTTGGTTGTCCTCGTCCCACCTGGCCCGGGCAAACCGCAGCACAGGCACCGCCGCCACCGCGTAATTGCCGGCTCTCTCGGTTGCCGGTCGTTCGATTGATTATTATTTTTGCGCGGGCTGACCTCCGCGACCCGTTGCCACGGATCGGCGCCGTTCATCGCTCGATTTCATCATTAGTGGGAACCACGAAAGCATCCGCGGGGGACATGGCCCCATCGACGCGCGAATCCCGATGTGTCCGACCGGCTTTTTCCTTTTTCGGAACTTGTCCGTCATCGCCGGTGAAAATGTCGAAACCCCTGCGAAGTTTTCGCGGTTTAATTATAGAAGCTGCAAAAATGATCCTAGAAACTCTCCCGACTAAAGCAACATGTACTCTTTTTGAAACTAACGAGACACCGGTTGTGCATTAATTGCGTTGGACATTTATCAATTTAGTTTGGGAAACGATTATTCGGTTTCACTGTATTTTACATTGCAATTTAATATTATAATTTAGTTTAAAATTGAGTACGATCGTGTCACGTGATAGAAGAGAGTAAAATATTTGCATAAATTAGCGGAAAAAGTGGTTAAACAACTGAACTGTACGGCGACTGTTTCTCTTATTCCCGCGTCTGCTACCATAATTACATTCCGCAAATTCGGTCGGGAAATAAAACGGCAAAAAGCTGCGATCATACCGTTTCCACGGCTGTCGTAGAGCGGAGCGATAAAATTCACGGCGCGGAGAGGATCCGGTTGCTCGTCCGAGCGACGATTTTTCCCCGGGACGCGTACATCGCCGGCTGGCAACCGGAATTGCCGAAAGGCGGTAAAACTGTCCGACGAGAGAGGGTGAAACGGATATCGGAGGGGGCGCGAGTTACGCGCGCCCCGAATGCCCATTTACTCGTAGGAGTGATTGAAAACGCGCGGAACGGTATCCTCCGCGATGGAATATTTAAGCGCGACAGGAATCGGCCGCAGAAAACCGCAACTAGCTTCCTCGTCCGCTACAACCCAGTGCCAATCCGAACTTACGGTCCCAAATCGTTTTGCGGCTTTTTGGGAACGGACCGTGCAAACGAACACGCTTTGCGCACGCTTTTCAGACAGTTGGATAATTTTCGCGACGCTGAATGGTGACAAAGAACGCCGGAATCGAAATGTTAACCAGCTTCGTGTGTTTAAAATGTTTACCAATGTTTACCAGCTTACGTGGGATTTTTATTAAAGTAATTCATTTAATAGCGAAGGAATAATTCAATATAATATATATATATATATATATATATATTATATCGAATATTATATTGAATTATTCCTTCGCTATTAAATGAATTGTTTTAATAAAAATCCCACGTAAGCTGGT